TTGTTAACTTTAAAACTTCTAATTGTATTATTTTTACAGAAGTTTTTAATATTTTATTTACCAAAAAAAGCAGGTTAAAATATGCTAAAATTTTGTGTTCTGCTTAAAATTTAAAAGCAGTATCTTGATTGACTTTTTAGCAAATTTATTTTGTTTTTAATAATTTATCATTTATATTATAACTAGTAATTGTTATTTACAAAAGTTTTAAAAATATAAATTAAAAAATATATACTTATAACTATTTAATAGAAATTGAAATTATTAAGCTTTGAATATAGTTAGAATTTTGAATATCAATTAACCAAAAATCAAATTTTTTAAAATATCTAATATATATTATTAATTGTTTTTTATTTATTTATTTATTTATAAATTAAAAATTTTATTATTATCAATACTTATTATAATATATTTTTTTTTAAATAAAACTTTATTAATCATAAAAAATAAATAAAAATATAAAATTTATTTATTAAATTCTAAAGTTACATATTATCTTTTTTAATAAAAAGTATTTTATAGTTTATTAATTCATATTTATTATTATTATTACAAGAAGTATGATTATTATTTTTTTAGTTTTTGATTTCTTTTTTAAATCAGATTTTTATAGACATTTAAATAAAAAATAAAAATATATTTATTAATACTATCTTATATCATGAAAGATAATACAAATATTTAAATTTATTATTTATATTATAAAATTTCTAACACTTTAAGACTATACCAAAATTATCATAATTAAATAAAACCTATAGCATTTTACAATAGCTAGATAATTTATATCATATACAATATAAATTAATTAGTTGTAAATTAGCAGTTTTATTAATCAATTATTATATATAGTTATATATAAATCTATATAAATTAGCCAATTATATGAATGTTTTTTTATAAATAGAAAAATTATTTTTCTAAGAGAGGAAGGACCATTGTTAGAATCAATATTAAGAAGACCAATATGCAAAAATATTTGCATTGCAAATAGTTTGAATACATTGGTGAATGGAAAGCTTGAGAGAAAAGCTATTAAAAAGAAAAGTAAATTGAGCATTGTGTATATTGCTAGAGTTAAGTGCAAGAATTGGTATATTAGAGTAATTGTGGGCTAGTTCATCAGCTTTGTTATTAAGTTCATTATCTTGATATGTTAGAACTTTGTAGAAGATAATTGAAAAATTAAATAAGAAACAGAGATTTAAGAATATTTTTCAAATAGGCTAGTATGAAGTATTTGAGAAGTTTGCTGCTGTTAGTAGAATATAAAAGGCTGTTATATTTTGAGATTACTGATTGAGAATTAATATAGATATAAATAGTAAAGTTTTGGATGACTGTACTAATAGCTGATAGTATTGCAAGAAGTTTGGTTTTAAAGAAACAAGGCCAAAGTTTAATTTGGGCATGAAAGATATATTGTATTATATGATTGTTAATTTGTAGCTAACTAATGCCCATAGAATATTAGGAGTTGTCTATGTTTGTAATAAAACTATTAGTATAAAATGTGAAGATATTAAAATTACTATTTTGGTTTGCAATATATTACAACATATTGGAGGCAGAACCATATTAAAAATTGAAGAGATTTGAGTAATTAAGATATTGAGACTTGGTAAGTGAAAAGGAGGGCTGAGGTTTGAAAATATAATTGAGTATAAAAGATTCAGATAATTAGTATGGAAGTTGAGTGTTTTGTTAGGATTAGTCTACCAAAAAATTTTATAGCCTAATTAGTAAAGATAAAAGTAGTATATTTATTGGCAATGATATTGGAGTTTAAAGAGCAGTTTGAGTATGGAGTTGTAGTTATAGAAGATAAAGAATAAGGTGGAAGTGAATGATTTATAATATTGCATTGCTAGTGATTTATTAAAGTATAACCAGAGTTGTTTGAGCCTTAGATATAACATAGTCAGTTACCGTTTTCCAGTTCTATTGCAGATTGCGATTACACATGGCCCTGTAGTAGACATTTTTGGTTCTAAGTAAAGTCACTCAGTTCTAAGATCTTTTTGAGATTCTTTTGCACACTGAATATTAACGCTCTTACGAAGCTAATGGTAAAAAAAAAATTCTATTTTTTTTAGTGAAACGTTACGTTATTAAAAAGTACTTTAAAGTGTATAAATAAGTTACCCAGGCAATTGATCTGCATCAGCTAATCATACGAATGTCCTACGTACTATGATTTTTCTATACCATTTATTAATAGAAGTTTATCGGTTTTGCATTAGTTTCTGAGTAATTAAATGGGACCGATTTGGGACCGATTAGCTAAATTTTCTCCAAACCGTTCGGTCTTAATCTGTCCCATTTAATGCAAAAACCGATAAACTTCTATTAGAAAATGTTACAGAAAAATTATTTTTCTATGACTTCATTTATTGGATGAATACCGGTTAAAAATACCAATTTTTTATAAATCTTGCTCAAAATCAGCTGACAATTACTGTCTAATACAAAGGACACGAAATTTGACAAATAATACCTGCCATGTATACATTCTAATTAGAAAGTTTAAATTTATTTCAAAAAGTATTAATATCTAATCTATAACATTTTCGTCAAAAACATATTAGTGTTTTAATCTATCACATTTTTTTTAATCTGACATTTTTTTTCTGAATACGTATATTTGTAATTTAATTGAATTAATGGGTAATTAAAAGTTGACCTATTATTAGTAAAAGACTAATTTTTTTTTATTTAAAATATTAGCAGCATCAACCCATAAGAAACTAGAATCCCTAGCATTACTCTCATTATAGTAAAATCTATAATCAGCAGGTTTAAACAAATATTCTAATACACCTGTTATTTCATTGCTCTTTTTGTCAAAATCGTAAGCTTTTCTAATGGTAAGAAGAAGTGAGTTACTATTCGGAATAGAAGTAACATTTGTATCACCAGCTGAATCTGCAATATTATCTTCAGATGTAACAAGGCCACCAGGAAAAGTGGAAAATGACATCGGAATGTCAAGAAGACCACCAACGGAAATTGTTTTTACATTATGAATTTCAGAAAGAAATAAAGTTATTAATGCACATGCTGATGCACAAATTCCATTAGTTAAGATGATGATATCTTCACTGGTCCATGGAAAAGGGGATGTTTTTCTGAGTAATTTCTTTTCTTCAGGTGTTAAAACATCAAGTTGCAAGCTAGAAGTTAGATTTTTTCGAAGTCCGATAAAATCACTAGCATTCTTAAAGGGTTTTCCAGAAGGAAATGACAAATAAGAATATGGATTATAAAAATCATAATCATTAGAATGATTCTTAAAATTCTTTTCTATTACTGGAATTGTAAAATTATTGATATTTATGCTTGTTGGAAAAGTGTTTAGTTGTTGTTGTGAACGAAATAGTAATGAAATTATGAATATTACTACACTAACACTTCCACCAAGATTATTTGACATATCTAAAATAAGCTGTCAAAATTATGAAGTAAATACAAAAGTACATACAGTATATAATACATGTTTAGTGCAGTTATTAATATTTACCTTTTTTGCACCTAGTTTATTTAATTGATCAAAACCATCTACTAAATCTTTTACATAATTTTCTTTTTCAAAAGCAATTTCTGCGACACCAACAGTTCCATTATCTACTAAGTAAAAATCTGTAGCTACTAATGTCACATTTGGTGGCTGCTCATTATTTTTATTCTTTAATCCTGACGCTTTAAATTTTCTACTAGAAGTTGACTCTGTAGCTTTTTCTTCTGACGTTAATTTTGTAACATTACTACTTGAAATAGAAGTATTTCTGAAGCAAAAGAAGTCAAATTCATCTTTGTATGTAATAG